TGTGCTGAGCAACGGTTACACAGAAAGCAATGGGTGTACAAAATGGATATATTACGGCTGGACATGGTGGCTCATGCCTGTAATCCAAGCACTTTGGAGGCCAAGGCGGGTGGATCACCTTAGGTCGGGAGTTCAAGACCAGCCTGACCAACATGGTAAAACCCCGTCTTAAAAAATAAAAGGATATATTACACAAACGATAATATTATTATTATACAAAATAATGCTTGATGCTTACTCTCAAGAAACTTACAGACAATATAAAAAGAAAGGCTGGGTGTGGTGGCTCATGCCTGTAATCCCAGCACTTTGGGAGGCCAAGGCAGGAGGATCACCTGAGCCCAGGAGTTTAAGACCAGCCTGGGCAACATAGTGAGGCCCCATCTCTACAAATAATAAAAAACATTAGTCAGGCATGGTGGTGCACTTCTGTAGTCCCAGCTACCTAGGAGGCTGAGGCAGGAGAACCACTTGAGCCCAGGAGGTTGAGTCTGCAGTGAGCCGTGATTGTGCCACTGCACACCAGCCTAGGTGACAGAGCATGACCCTGTCTCCAAAAAAAAAAAAGAGAGAGCAAACAAGTATGTGGAAAAGATAGTTCCAATACTGCTTCACTGTATCTTATAAGCTTATATCCGATAATTTACCACTTAAAAATATGGGGTCATCTGTGCTGTTCATTATTGTAAGAATGTTGGTCTCATCTTCCAAAGTAGATTGCTGGCTCCTTGGAGGTAAGGCCCATGTCTTCTTTTTCCTCCCACAGCAATTTATATGGAGGTGTGGGAGGAAAAAACCATATCTGTTACCATTTATGGAGGGTTCTCTGTGGACTAGGCACTTTGTTAAAATCTTTTAGATATATTATGGAATCTTTGAAATGATCCTATGAGGTAATTTTATTTTATTATTTTTTTGAGACAGTCTCTCGCTCTGTTGCCCAAGCTGGAGTGCAATGATGCTATCTCGGCTCACCTGCAACCTCTGCCTCTCAGACTCAAAGTGATTTTCCTGCCTCAGTCTCTTGAATAGCTTGGGTTACAGGCGCTTACCACCACAACCAGCTAATTTTTGTATTTTTAGTAGAGACAGGGTTTCACCATGTTAGCCAGGCTGGTCTTGAACTCCTGACCTCAGGTGACCCACCTGCCTCAGCCTCTCAAAGTGCTGGGATTACAGGCGTGAGCCACCTTGCCTGGGCTTTATGAGGTAATTTTATAATTTCAATTATACAAATGAGGAAGCTGAGGCACAGAGTTGAATAGCTTTCATAAGGCATCTCAGCCACTGAGTGGTGGGATTAAAATTGGAACCTTGGTTTATCTGACTTTTTAGCTCATATTCTTCTTTAAAAATAATTTTTATTGTGTATCTTTGAGGTTTACAACATGATGTTACAAAATTCAGATATAGATAGTAAAATGGTTACTATAGTGAAGCAGATTAACATATCTATCATCTCAGTTACTTTTTTTGTGACAAGAGCAGCTAAAAATCTACTTAGTTAACACAAATTTCAAAGCAATGCAATTTTATTAACTTAGCCCTGATGTTGTACATTAGATTTCTAAACGTGTTCATCCTACATATCTGCTCTTTTGTATCCTTTGACCTACATGTCCCCATTTCCTCTCCCTCTCCCCCTTGCCATGGTAACCACTGTTTTATTCTCTCTTTGTGTATTTAAGCTCTTTTTTTTTTTTAAATCCACATATAGGTGAGATCATGCATATTTTTATTTCTGGCTTAATTCACTTAGCACATGTCTTCCAGGTTCATCTACGTTCTGGCACAAATGAAAGGATCTCTTTTTTTAAGGCTGAATAATATTCCTCTGTGTGTGTGTGTGTGTGTGTGTGTGTGTTTACAGACTATATTTTCTTTATTATTATTATTATTTTTGAGACGGAGTTTCGCTCTTGTTACCCAGGCTGGAGTGCAATGGCGCGATCTCGGCTCACCGCAATCTCCACCTCCTGGGTTCAGGCAATTCTCCTGCCTCAGCCTCCTGAGTAGCTGGGATTACAGGCACGTGCCACCGTGCCCAGCTAATTTTTTGTATTTTTAGTAGAGACGGTGTTTCACCATGTTGATCAGAATGGTCTCAATCTCTTGACCTCGTGATCCACCCGTCTCGGCCTCCCAAAGTGCTGGGATTACTGGCTTGAGCCACCGCGCCCGGCCTATATTTTCTTTATTAATTTGTCCATAGATGACATTTAGGTTGTTTCCATATCTTGGCTTTTGTGAATAATGCTTCAATGAGCATGGGAGTGCAGATGTGTTTATGAGTTGGTGATTTCATCTCCTTGGGGTATAAACCCAGATGAGAAATTGCTGAAAAGCCCGTATTAACAACTAGGCAGGGAGTTCTGGAAATTTGTTGACTAGCTGCTAAACTAACCTTGGAGCCTAAAGTACTTACTGTTGAGCTTAAGAGGAGGTATGAGGTAAGGTATTAGAGAGCTTCAAGGGGTGATGGGAAGCTTTTGGGCTCTTATCATTTTTCTGGGGGATATTTTCGTAGTTGGGGATCACATGCATTTTCCTGTTTCTGCTCCATTAGAACTGATAGTATTTTCTGGTTCTGATTTAGTAGTCAATTGAAGATCCCTGTGAGTTCCCCACAGGAGGACAGTTTAGTCTAGATGGGAGCATAGCATGCCTATGGCATAGTATACAGAGTAGAGGCCCAGGGACCAGGCAGATAGGGTAGGAGCCATCGGGGATGCTGCTTATAAGGCTCAAGCAATAGAGAGGACATAAAACCAGAGCTAGGAAGGGGAGACGCTGGGAGAAACAGTGAGACAAACTGGCGGTCAACTAAAGTCCTCCAAAATTGAACAGTTGTGGTCCTCATTGTTCTTGCCCTTTTAAGTGAACGGAATTAGCTCCATCAGTCCAAATCCAGCAGGAATCAGCCAGCACACTGAAAAGGTAGTCAAAAGGCTGGGTGCGGTGGCTCATGCCTGTAATCCCAGCAGTTTGGGAGGCTGAGGTGGGCAGATCACCTGAGATCAGGAGTTCAAGACCAGCCTGACCAACAGGGGAAACCCTGTCTCTACCAAAAATTCAAAATTAGCCGGGTGTGGTGGTGCATGCCTGCAATCCCTGCTACTCAGGAGGCTGAGGCAGGAGAATCGCTCGAACCTGGGAGGTGGAGGTTGTGGTGAGCCAAAATTGTGCCATTGAACTCTAGCTGGGTGGCAAGAGCAAAACTCCATCTCAAAAAAAAAATAAAAAAATAAAAAAGGTAGAGTCAAAAAGAGCTTAAGAAAGGGGCTATTTGGAGAAAGTAAGAGAAACCAACAGGGGCTGTCGAAACACTTTGGTCTAGCAGTAGCAGGAGGTGCTGCTACCTCTGGGCCTGAAGGAGCAAGGGAACAAGAGCAGATACAGGAATGCCCTGAGAGCTTTAGCTCTAGGACAGGCCCCTAACCGGACCTGTGACCTTTGCAAGAGAAATACAGCCACTGCCAACCTACAATATGGTAGGAAGTGAGCCAGGGGAATAAAAACTCCAAGTTCTCTCTCTCACCCTTTGACTTCCTGCCATTCAGAGCGGTTTCATCCAAGCAGATGCCAAAAAGTGAGAGAGTCAGCTCATGTTATCAGCAACCTGGACACAGAGCAGACAAGGATGGATCTGAGGGGCAAAGGGAGCATCCTCTGTCTTTATCCACAGATGTACTTAGAAACTGCTAGGAACACAACTCAAGATGCTATCCATAGGGAAGTATCTAAATAAACTGTGATGTGTCCATGCTAGGAAATCCTATGCAGCAGCTGAAAAGACAGAATAGATCAATAGTTATTGGTGTGGAGAGATTGCTGAGACCTATTATTGAGTAATGAAGCAAATTGCAGAAAAATGCCCAGAGTAGGATGGGATGTTTACCCACCCCACCACCCACCACCACATACACTATTATTAAGTCTATTAAAGCCTGGTGTGGTGGCTCACACCTGTAATCCCAGTACTTTAGGAGGCATAGACGGGTGGTCACCTGAGGTCAGACCAGCCTGGCCAACATGGTGAAACCCCATCTCTACTAAAAATACAAAAATTAGCCAGTGTGATGGTGCCCACCTGTAATCCCAGCTAGTCTGGGAGGCTGAGGCAGGAGAATTGCTTGAACCTGGGAGGTGGAAGTTGCAGGTTGCAGTGACCTGAGATTGTGCCATTGCACTCCAGCCTGGGCAGAAAAAGTGAAACAGTCTCAAAAAAAAAAAAAAAAAAAGTCTATTAAATGCCCCGTGTCTTTTATGGTATTTTGTGTATATGCATATATACAAATGCAAAGTTTGGAATAACATACATCAAACTGGTAATAGTGATTTTCTCTGGGGAGGTAGGAGGAGGCTCAAGATTCGGGGGGTGGTCAGAGGGGCTTCAGTTGTGGTAGACACTACTGGCTGCTTAATAAGAGCCGTTGCCCCTCACCCAGGTCTTTAATGCTAACAACTCAAATCCTGATCAGGTATCAAAGGGCAACACTGTGCTCAGGGAAGGCAGGTCGAGGTGTCAAATCCCAGTTGATCTAAGCCAAGGATGCTTCTACCACTCCCCTTTGCCTGTGTTTTGTCTAGGGGTAGGCATATGACCTAGTCTGCTGTTGACTTTTTTTTTTAATTTTCAGCTTCCAATTCCATTTTAATTTTGTTTCTTTTCTTTTCTTTCTTTTTCCTTTATTTTTTTTTTTTAAGACAGAGTCTCACTGTGTTACCCAGGCTGGAGTGCGGTGGCACGATCTTGGCTCACTGACATCTCCCCCTCCTGGGTTTGAGCGATTATCCTGCCTCAGCCTCCCAAGTAGCTGGGACTACAGGCACTCTCCACCATGCCCAGCTAAGTTTTTGTATTTTTAGTAGAGATGGAGTTTCATCATGTTAGCCAGGATGGTCTTGACCTCCTGACCTTGTGATCTGCCCGCCCTGGCCTCCCAAACTGCTGGGATTATAGGTGTGAGCCACTGCACCCAGGCTAATTTTGATTCTTTGTATGTTTTTCCTTAAATATACAGTCCATCACCTTGGCTCAGTGCATGTCACCAAAAATTCTCCAGGGATTTCATAGTTTGGACCTCAGTGGTGTTGCTGGCCCTGGATTATCCATGCAGGGAGGCCTGCACCTCTGACAGTTGGCTGCAGCAGGGGGTGCCCATCTCCTGTGCTTTGTGGTACATAACTGTGTCGCCAAAGTAGCGGTCCCAGTACAGAAAGCCTTCGTTCTGCTGCTTCTCCTTCCAGCAGTTGTTCCAGAGGTTGGCGATGTAATCATCTTCCACATTTGGTTTGACTGCTTTGAGACTGGAGCCTGTGTACTCCTTGGAGAAATTGTCTGCCACATAGGAAATGACACTCAGGTGTGACTCACCTGTGATGTGGCTCACAGACGGTCTTAGGCTCAGACTGAAGGGTGAACTGGAGACCATGAACTGGCTGAGAACTGACACGAGGATCAGGATGAGGATGGGCATCAGCTGCACAAACACCCCTCGCCCATCATCACCCTGGTTCTCCATGCGGTCCCGCCTTTACTGGTATGTATAGCACATGTGGCTGTTGCTGTAGATGTGGACTTTACTAGAAGGGAAGCCACCACCAAAGAACATGTTGAAGAGGTCTTCAGGGGAGATGTCAGCCTCAAAGCCATGGTGGAAGTCCCCATGCCCATAGCTGGGCCGGGCTACCTGGCTCCTGTTATCACTGAAATGGTCATACTACTTCCTCCTTCCCTTCTTCCTCCCTCCCTCCCTCCCTTCCTTCTCTTTCTCTCCTTTCCCTTCCTTTCCTTCTTTCCTCCTTTCTTCCTTTCTTTCCTTTCTTCTCAAGACAGAGTCTTGCTCTGTCACCCAGGCTGGAGTGCAGTAGCTCAATCTCAGCTAACTACAACTTCTGCCTACCAGGTTCAAGCAATTGTCCTGCCTCAGCCTCCTGAGTAGCTGGGATTACAGACGTGAGCCACCATGTCCGGCTAATTTTTGTATTTTTAGTAGAGACAGGGTTTCACCATATTGGCCAGGCTGGTCTTAAACTGTCTGATCTCTAATGCCTGGCCTCCTTTTTCCGCCCACCTCTGCCTTCCAAAGTGCTGGGATTACAGGTGTGAGCCATCGCGCCTGGTCTTCGTGCTTCCTCTTCTCTGGGTTGCTGAGTATTGCATATGCTGTGCCAATGGTTTTGAAAGCTTCAGTAGCACCAGGTGCAGTTCTTTTCTGGGTGGACTATGAGGGCCAGTTTGCGGTAGGCCTTCTTCAGGTCCTCATCTGAGGCCCCTCTGCTCACCCCCAGGATCTCATAGTAATCCCTACATTGCTTGATGCTTTTCACAGCTGCAACTCATTCTGCAGTGTAACCTTTGGTGCTCTCTCCTCCTCCTGCCTCACCGTGGGTCTAGGGGAACATCGGTCCCCCCTGCTTTCCTGTGGGCGGCATGGGTTGCATCTGTGGATTGGGGGTGGTCACCAGCAGTTTGTGGTTCCTGATTGAGGGACTCCAGGGCGCAAACTCATGGTATTGGGTACAACTGCTGCGTTTTCTCCAGGAGGTGGAGCACCCGGTTGAATTGCTTGAACCTGGGTGTTCTGGATGGTCTTGAGGGAGGTATTGATACAGAGCTCGTCTTCATCCTTGTTGGATTACATGGTAGAACCAGAGCATGGAAACTGCTGTTGACTTTTAAGAAGTATTTTTTTTTTTCGTTTTAATAACAGAACAGAGTATAGTAGATGAAGATAAAGAGTTCTGCTTCTCCCTTTCCTTTTTGCCTTGGGATAGTTGTTGGAAATGTGAATCTTGGAGTTATGGAAAGCATCTTGTGATCCAGAGGAAGAGGCCAGGAGAGGCTGGGTGCAGTGGCTCACACTTGTAATCCCAGCACTTTGGGAGGCCGAGGCGGGTGGATCACGAGGTCAGGAGTTTGAAACCAGCCTGACCAATATGGTGAAACCCTGTCTGTACTAAAAATACAAAAATTAGCCAGGCCTGGTGGCCCATGCCTGTAGTCCCAGCTACTTGGGAGGCTGAGGCAGGAGGAGCCTTTGAACCCGGGAGGCAGAGGTTGCAGTGAGCCAAGATTGTGCCACTGCACCCCAGCCTGGGTGACAGAGCAAGACTCCATCTCAAAAAAAAAGAAAGAAAGAAAGAAAGAAAGAAAGAAAAAAGATAAAGATCAGGAGAAACATAGAGACATCAGCCCAGCCTATTAATTTTTTTTTTTAGACAGAGTTTTGTTCTTGTTGCCCAGGCTGGAGTGCAGTGGCACAATTTTGGCTCACCACAACCTCCGACTCCTGGGTTCAAGCGATTCTTCTGTTTCAGTCTCCTGAGTAGCTAGGATTAAAGTCATGTGCCATCATGCCTGGCTAATTTTGTATTTATTTTAGTAGGTCAGGCTGGTCTCAAACCCCCAACTTTAGGTGACCCACCTGCCTCAGCCTTCCAAAGTGCTGGGATTATAGGTGTGAACCACCATACCTGGGCTTTTTTTTGAGACAGAGTCTTGCTCTGTCCCTCAAGCTGGAGTTTAGTGGTGCCATAACAGCTCACTGCAGCCTTAAGCTCCTGGGCCCAACCCATCTTCCTGCCTCAGCTTCCCGTGGCCAAAACCATGAGTGTGTGTCACCACACCTGGCTAATTTTTTATAGAGATGGGGGTCTCATTATATTGCCAAGGCTAGTCTTAAGCAATACTTCTGCCTCAGCCTTCCAACCTGCTGGGATTATAGGTGTAAGCCTGGCCCAACTAGCATCTTGATATCTTCTTGCTTTTCTGAAGCAGAAACTGTTCTCCTCCAAACTTCTTGTTACCTGAGATATTTAAAAGCCTTTATTTCTTAAACTACTGTCGGCCAGGTGTTCTGTTACAATAAAACACAACCTAACCAACATAGCAGTTTAATCTGATGTGATATATTTTCTTTTCTTTTTTTATTTTTGAGACGGAGTTTTGCTCTTGTTGCCCAGGCTGGAGTGCAGTGGTGTAATCTTGGCTCACCGCAACCTCTGCCTCCTGGGTTCAAGCGATTTTCCTGCCTCAGCCTCCTGAATGGCTGGGATTACAGGCATGTACCACCATGCCCAGCTAATTCTTTGTATTTTTAGTAGAGAAGGAGTTTCACCATGTTGGCCAGGCTGGCCTCAAACTCCCCACCTCAGGTGATCTGCCTGCCTCAACCAACCAAAGTGCTGGGATTACAGGCGTGAGCCACTGCGCCTGGCCTGAAGTGATGTATTTTCTCAGTAGAATTTATTCATGCATTACTTGTGTAATTACACATTTTTTGAAGGAGGGTAAAACCCCTTAGGCATTTGTACTTCATCTTCAGAACTGACCTGATCCACCTTCCACTGACTCTCTGACTCCCTCTACCCTTCAGAGCTCTTGTTTGACTATGCTGCTGGCCTCTGGGCTGCCAGCGGAACTGCTTTGATTGAAAACTCAGGTGTACAAGACTTTTGGAATGCACACTTTAGCCTTCCTGGGGCTGCTCCAATCCTTTGTACTCCCTCAGGCTGGGGGACCCACTGTTTAGGGCTGCCCTTTCCACAGCACTTTTTGCAGGGAGGGATGTGCCATTTGGTAACTGCGCCTCTGCCCCCCACTGCTCTTCTGGGGAGATGGAAGAGCTGCAGCACAGGAGAAGCCGGGGAACAGGCCCAAAGCCAAGAGCCCCAGAGTCTAGGCGGGATTCCTTTGGTTCTGGCCCTAGGTCTGGAATCTGAATATTATAGAGAAACTTATTCTAGATTTATCCAGGGGGTCTTGCATTGCCTGTGGTTTCTGAGGATACTTTAAAATCACTAGTATTCACTGCCTCTACTGGAGCTTCTGTACACTGGATTTTATTCCCCCCAGCTTTGAGTGCTTGTGAAACTATCTTAAAGAGTAGAGTAGCTGGGCATAGTGGCTCACACCTGTAATTCCAGCACTTTAGGAGGCCAAGGCAGGCAGATCAATGTCAGGAGTTCGAGACCAGCCTGGCCAATAGGGTGAAACCCCATCTCTACTAAAAATACAAAAATTAGCCAGGTATGGTGGCGGGCACCTGTAGTCCCAGCTACTCAGGAGGCTGAGGCAGGAGAATCGCTTGGACCCAGGAGGTGGAGGTCGCAGTGAGATGAGATTGTGCCACTGCACTCTAGCCTGGGCGACAGGGCGAGACGCCTCTCAAAAACGAAAGAGTAGAGTAAGTAGCTCGGGCAGGCTTGCATCTGTGGGAGGCCACCCGCACAGATGGAAGACTGGTGGGAGTTCCTTGTGACAGGCAGAGGGAGAGAAACTGAGGTTTAAGTTGGGGCCCAGGATGAGGGTGGAGGGGAAGGGATGGGTGTGAGTTTCCCCCTTCCCTTCTCTGTGGGCGATGCTCCACATATGGTGGCAAGGATAGTTTTCTGCATTCTTCAGAGCACGAGCGGAGATCTTTTGGATGCTGTTTCCACGGGTGTTTCAGGGAGCTCTCCGTAATAAGGGTTCCCTTTGTGGCAGTTGGCAGTCAGTTCCAAGCTCATCATTTTGTTGCAACAGGACTTGGCAGGGGCATGGGAAAACAGGACTTCTGCTGTTCCTTTGCCACTCTCAGCTCTGCACCCACACCTATGAGGGCTACCTCCTTTCTCCATCCTGTTCCACCTGCCCTCTTCCTGCTTGTTCTTTTGTCCAAACTTGCGGGAGGCGGCATTCAAGAGAAGGGGTACCTGTAGTTAAAAAGGGTAGGAGGATGGGAGGAGAGGATCAAGGAAAAGCCAACTTTTGCCTCAGATGCCCGGCTGCTTTATTATGCATGCTTTTCTCTTTCTCACTGTTTTTTGGAAAGGCTGAAAATAAACACTTTTGTAATACTGACTCGTAGTTCACACTTTCCTGACAAGTTACTCAAACTGCAGCCACAGCCGCTTAAAGAGAAGTTTGACGCAAGCTTTATTCAGCAGGCGCTTTCTAATTCAGAATGTTCCAAGGCAGTTGATCTTGCTACTTCTAAACTAGTGAAAGGGCTGAGGAGGGGGCACATTGCTTAATCTGTGAGCCCTGGGTCAGAAGTCACCACCAGCAAGTCCACCAGCATCTCCACCACAAATTCAAGCTTTTCAGACTACCGGGTCTTCAGGGCTGCTACTCAGCTCACTTATTCAAGAAATGTCATAGAGTCATTAAAAATCTCACCTGGAAGAAACTATGAAAATCTCTTAATTCAAGATCCTTTTTCTGTAGGCCAGAGAAGTGACTTCCCTGCTTAAAATGAAAAGAACGATTAGTGGAGGATCTTAGGCTACAGCCCCAAACTCTGGAAGCTTCCCATTGAGCCATACTTTGTTAATTTCATGGATTTGATTTACTACATTTAAGTTTTCATTACAAAAGGTTTCAAACATACACAAAAGTTGAGAGAAGAGTATAACGAACACCTACGTACCCATTACTCAATGTCAATACTGGTCGCTGTTTCAATGTTGTCTTATCTAATCTCCATTTTCCCCCCATTGCAACCAGATAGAAGTCGCTAACACTTTATCCACGAGTACAGCAATATGTGTCTCTCTAACAGAAAGCTTTAAATAATAGTGTAACCATAGTTACCATTATCACACCCACAAAATTAGCATTATTTCTTAGTGTCATAATACTTTTGAACTCAATTTTCTCCAGTTGTGTCAAAAATGTCCTTTTCAGTTTGTTTAAATAAGGTCCAAACAGGGTCTACACATTGCATCTGTTGACATTTTTTAAGGGCTTTTATACTGTCATGGCCCTTCCCCTATGCCTTCCCTATGCCATTTGTTTTTTAAAATCCATCCTTCAGAACTTCCCACGTGGCGGGCGCGGTGGCTCACTCCTGTAATCCCAGCACTTTGGGAGGCCGAGGTGGGTGGACCACAGGTCAGGAGATTGAGACCATCCTGGCTAACACGGTGAAACCTGTCTCTACTCAAAATACAAAAAATTAGCTGGGCATGGTGGCATGTGCTGATAGTCCCAGCTACTCGGGAGGCTGAGGCAGGAGAATCTCTTGGGCCCAGGAGGTGGAGGTTGCAGTGAGCCTAGATGGCGCCACTGCATTCCAGTCTGGGGGACAGAGCAAGACTCCATCTCAAAAAAAAAAAGAACTTCCCACGTTCTGAATGTGGCTGGCTATATTCTGCTGGTGTCCTTTAACCTATTTTTCCATCCTGTTTCCTGTACATGGGTACTGAAGATGTGGACAACAGTGATTCTCAGCTGGGGGAGACTTTGCTTCCTTCACCTCCCCAGGGACATTTGGCAATGTCTGGACATTTTTCGATTGTCACACCTGGGGGTGGGGGTGCTGCAGGCATCTAATGGGTAGAGGCCAGGGATGCTGCTAAACATCCTGCAGTGCACAGGACAGATGCCCACAAGAAAGAATTGTGTGTCCCCAAATGTCAGCAGTGCTGAGGTTGAGAAACTGACCGGGAGACCAGAAATTCAAGTTCTGCTTTTTGTAGTTTTTTTTGGCAAGGATATTTCATGGATGGTACTGTGTACTTCCTGCTGTATCATATCAGGAGGACACCATGTCTGATGTTAAGGTGATGTTAAGGTTGATCAGTGGATTCAGGAAGTGTCAGCCTCATACATTATTACAAAATTACCCAAATGGACATATTTTGAGAGTAAAAGGGAGTGCTATTA